CCAACGGAAGCGCTTATACAACTGTTGTTTAGTAACTGTTAAAGGCTGTACATATTATGCTAAATATGTTGGTAAACAACTTCACCATAACCTAACTTTCTGCTGTCATATTTTTGTTGAAATGCCATAACCAATGTTTTAAGACAAACAACGCATGCCTATTGGTTGAAAAGGTTTTATCAACTGTTCAAACGGAAGATATAGATCTGGTACAAATTCTGGGTAAATCATTCGACTCTGTCGGTACTTCATTTCAGACATTTGTCAAATTGTTGTATAACACCTGCAGGCAACACCAAAATATTCTAACAACCTGAAGACAACATGGATGATGCCATAATTGTACACAACCACCCGCCATATTGGGCAAACATTTATTCCTCTATTTAATATTAAATAATTATGTTTCAGTTCATCTAGACATACTTTTGATCATTGTCAAAATATGAAGCCCGTAGAAATTGGGTAAATAATTTGCACGATAATCACAATAAAATTTGCTGCGCAAGTAATTCAATAGCCCTATATCAAAGTGTAGAGGTTTATCATATACCTGTGTATGAAATTCACAATCGCCGATTTGTAAGTAAACAACATGACTGTAAAGTGTTAGTTATATATTCTTCACTTCGTCTATACAATACATAAGAAATAGTTTGGTTGCAATAAAGTAGAATCACGTAACAGAATAGTTGTATAGTTGACAAAAACTGAATCTTGCACTGTCGCAAATGTCCTATAGCGGCTGCAAGAGGTTTACACTTTTGTTTTATAACTGTTAACTGCAGCGCTTATACAACCTCTTAATTGACTGAAGTGTCCTATTAGGTGTGCCCATTCCGCTTGTATAGCTGTTCTAAGAGGGTTTTGCCAATGTTCTTACAGTATACAATGCTGTTTAAGGAATACTGTATAATTATTCTTGCAACTTTAATAGGAGTGATAATTGTTAGTTGGGTATTACCATCATTAATCGTGTCAAACACGCATCTTTCCAATTTTATACAGGGAAAACCAAATTTGTCTGACGGCTTGAGTTCAACGTGTACTAGATAGAAGCGCGAGAAGTGTGTATCAACACATGTTAGAAAGAGACAGAGGCTGGCTCAAGGGAGAAGGTTATCACCACATTGTCTAGAGACGGTGAGGCAGAAGGTCGCACAGGTTAGGTTACGGTCAAACCTAAGAGGGTGGTCTGTTCGAATATTTAATTTAATAATTTGTTTTTATTTTGATTAGAATTATTTATTTCAATTTTAATGCGACTTAGTGTTTTGACTTATTTTAGAGTTAGCTTTGATTTACGCCACTGGTGATAAAATCAACTCATCCTGAGTTATTGTTACATTTTGCGAGCGGTCGGAAAATGGACAAACGCCATTACACAATTCAAATTATCACTACACGCGTGTACACAGGTGAAAACCATTTCGAAGCAGGAGGACACTCCGCAATGAGCGCTAGATGGGTACTGACCAAAATCTCTCATCTGTGATCATAGAGCTGGAAACCTTGCCTTGGAATATACGAGATGCGGTCTTGCAAAGCGACGCAATTATGCAGAATTTGTGGCGGTCCTCGTTTTTCATTTCGACCTTAAATGGAGCCCGTTAGGACAGATTCGACACAATTCATAATTAAAAAATGGGTATGCTCAAAATAAAACCATTATTTGGGCATAGAGAATAAACTAACGCATATTTTCAACATGCATCTTAATTTAAAGAATCGGTGTAATATATTGGCAACGCGTCAGAAATAAATACAAAACTAAAGAACGATATAACAAAGCACAAGAAGATCTAGCCGCTGATCGTGCATGACATCATAAAATAAACAACAAAGCTAAGACGTTAATTGAGCTATGTATATTTATCTAATAAGGTAAACAGATTAACTGTGCAGGTAATTGAATTGATAGGCATATATGTACATAGTCGATTAGAGATAAGGCAATTTACTCCATTTGGAGAGACAAAGGAATCGTGTACTTATCAGTAATGCATGGCAGCTTTCAACCCTATTACCTATGCTTGTAAAATGATATCGGAATTATTGATGAGAATGTCGAAGAGTATTCATATAATTTATAGCTTATAGTTCGGATTCAGAAGTTTTAGATTTTGATAATGACTTCGGAAACTATAACACGAAGATCAAATTAATATTGTAAATCTTATAAGAACTATGGTATAGATACATGATTGCTCTGTTGAGATACAGCTGAAAATCATTAAATTGTCACAAATATCGCATGCTAGTGATCTTTTTTATTCTGAGCGAATATTTGCAGACGATTGTGGTCAATAAATATTGTATAAATTGAATGTAACAAAAAAGCCTCGTGCAATGAAAAAACTAGAATGGGGTGAATGTTATTTTCAGAAAATAAATGTTTTCGGCAGCCAAAACACCGATGTTAAATTTAGTTCTGAATCATCATACAACGTTATTGGCACAGAAATCAAATCAAATATAAACGAAAATCACACGCCCTAACTTGTGATATTTGTGTCTTTGTAACTTATTTTCTAAGCTCATTTCATTTATTGGTATGATTTTAAGCTTTATTGATTTTTCGGATGTTAATACCTCCTTATTTAAGTGCTGTGCGGTATTTTGATGATTAATACATGATGTAAAAGTTGTGGTGGCGTTTTCTGTCACGACCATGGTTCATTTTTTTAATTGATTAGACTTTGACAGCGCCAGCCTTAGGTCTAGTAATATTATGTTGGTTCATCAAGATAATAGACATAGTGTTATTGTGAACTCCCTTTGTTTGTTCATTTCCTCAATTTGATCGAGCATTGTTGATATTCAATTACACTTGTAGCATGTATTAGCTGGGTGAGGTTTGTCGCAAACGGTATACATTAACCAGAACAAACTAGAACAAACATATTTATTGTTGAGCAACGGTTCATAATATTTAAAATCATAGAAACATTGCTGCCATTGCCTTGACCTTTATTCATGGTAGGGACAGATTATCACAGTTTGGGCTCGGAGAAGCTAATGAATAAAGTGTTTGAAATAAGAGAAATGAAGCCAACATCATAATAACAACTCACTTTTTTTTTTTCCTTTACTGAATTATTATAGTCTGAAATAGTATGGTGGTGTTCCGTGTATTATAGCCCTGCCGTTGTGTTTGAAATTTTCCATTTACATATGATAACACCACACACGCTTACCCTGATGTTGAGTGGAGCAAAATATTAAGCATAAATCTTTCCCCCTTCCAAAGTTTATATTAGCATATCATTTTTATGCAGAAGCCCAAAAAAGTTTGTGGTTCCGGCACTAGTTTTTGTATCCCTACGCATCATAAATATGTATACCAGTATATATAGGCTTATATAAGTTACGCTTTACGATCTCCAATTGCTATGTGTGGAATTTCATGAAAATCTTTCCAGTGGGACAGCGAGAAGAAGACGATCCTCACATTCCAATGCTACTTGCTAATCTTATGAAATTTCAATAATGTTGGAACATCGCCAACGTTTCATAGAATACTTTGTATCGTCTATCAAAAAAAATTGAGCCGGCTTGTCTTAGTATATCTAATGAAGAGAATGTTTTTCAGGGTTTCAGGGCTATGGACGCTCTTCTGATGAGGTAGCACCCAGCGGATATCTACTATCTCATACACACGTGTTTCCCCGCTATAGTCTGCGTGACATCCCCCTTTTTCTCGGTACTCTTGGGTATTCAGGCCGTAATACGTCGGACGTTTTGTACTTTTGAAGAAGGTGATCTACTGCACAGTTTCTGTTTCGCAATTAGATTGATCTGGCTCGGAAGCCGAAAAGATGTAAGCGAGAGTGATGCTGCTAATTGTTGCTAATTAATTTGAGGGAAGGGAACGGCGGCACGTCATTACACTTCAAAGGATTCAATATGAAAAGATCAAACAGTAAACAGTAGAGCAAAGTGGGGTAATACGCCGCAGTTTGTTATCCTCATTTTAAGCCTAGATTTGGCAATAGTGTTAATTTTAACACGTTCTTCTAATGTAGCAATCTTGTGTGAATACCTCGGAAATCAAATTAATTAGTTTTTTACTGTATGTCGTCAGTATAAAGGTGAAGACCGTTTAAAAAATATCCTGAAGTCAAGTTATGCTCAGTGGTAAAAGAAGTTGTAAGTGTTTTTAATGCAATTTTAATAAGAGTACAATGTGGGGTAATATGCCTACAGTAGAGAGTGGGGACTCAGAATTGGAACATGATGAATCAGAATTTTTTGCCCAATGCGGTGGTTACTATTTTGATAAAAAAGGTTCCAAATGTGATTGGTTGCAATGTCTAAAATGCCATGATTGTATATATTGTAGCGATTATGTCCGATTAAATCAACTTGCAAGTACCTCCAGAGCTCTGGAGATATGATATTTAGTAGCCTCGTTGTAATACTTAACAACACTAGTTATGTTGTAAGGATTATATATTTTTTCTAACCTAAAAAAATATTTCATTCTTGCGTCTAACCATTCTTCAGTCTAAGTTTATGTCAACGAGCATTTCACGTCACATACTCAAATACACATGCTCTAAGATGCCGCCTTCTCCTTGTGGTTGGGTTGCATGCTTATTAGAATGTGAGCTTTTGAAATTTATGTTACCATATTCCTCCACTTTACTCTATAACATGACGTAAAATTAAACTCTTTGTGTATATGTATTCCAAGACGGCAGCACTGATGCCTACGTACGAATTGGGTCTGCCTTCGACCTTGAAAAATGCATATGTGTATTGATAGTAGTAGTATTAGTAGTAGTAGTAGTAGTGGTGGGGAGACAAAACCAGGCAATTAGGCCACCGTTGCAAAATATGCCGACCCTGTACGGCCAACAAACACTGTAGTACTCCACAAGCCATCTACTGGTAACTGACATTATAAGCCTACTCCGGCGATAAGATGTACGTATCATTAATATTGCACCCACGTGTGTGACATAGACAACACACAACATCCATTACTCGGAATTCGACTTCCGAGACAAAGATTCGAACTTGTGAGCCTCGATTTGCTAGCTGGACGCGCTAACCACCGAGCTACCGAGCCTCCCTGTGTGTACTGATAACCAATGTTGTTCGGTGGACTTCATATTTAGTAACAAACTTCTGGGAAGATGGTATTAGAATTCGAGGGAAAGTAATAGATCTCTGTATTGTCAAGTCTTTTCATTAACATATTGGGCCATAAATCATCAAAAAGATATGTCAGACGTCAGAATTTGCATTTTCTCATGGCGCCGTGTATCATCAAGAAGAACATTTGATAAAAAGAAGTTAATAAGGTAAATGCCGCAGTATTCTAAAGAATGAGCTCAGATTTATTATATTGTTTGTAATATTTACGAGACCTAGAAATGAGTATAAAATATAAAGCAACACTATCAGTAGCGTGAGATGTATTGTGACTATTGTGGGAGATGCAGAGGTTCGGTAGATTCTGTCATAAGTCATAAAATGCTGATGTACCTGGTAGATTATTTAAAATGCATGTCTGGATACAGCCTCTTTATAATCCTTGTATTCTGGTTTATTGATATCCATACATCCATAAAGTTGAATATTTTTCGTTGTTCAGGAACTGGACAAACATCCACACTATATTCACAGCGATTAAGAAATACCCTAATATATGTCTTAAAGCTACCAGCAAACCTAAAACCTGTAAAAAACTACAAATTTGCCACACTTTTCTTTTTTCACGAGTACACATTCTAGGTTATATAATTAGACATTATTTTAATAACAGCGGATTATTGCATTTCAAAACTCCCCGAGTGACACATGCGTGGGATCTGTCAACCCTGGGTCCCAATCGCAAAACATATACACTGAAGAAGGTTTCATTCCTTGCTATTCAATGACAACACGGTGACTTGTGTGGTTGTCAGCGGCCATTTTTTGACCGTGCGACATGGTTGCCAGATTGTGCATTAACATCCCGTTTCACCCCCCTGGTCCCAGTGGAATAAGCTCCGACAACTGTTGAATATACTCTACTCTACTTTATAGGACTATTCGTGGATTTTTTCCCAGAATCGTAGCACAACTTGAAAAAATGCAAATGAAAATTTAGAATTATTTCCATGACGCCGCAAAATAGCTCCGTCGCTACCTCGGGTTATACATCTTGACAGTAGGGATGCTCGATACGATCCTATATTTAGAAGTGTCAATACATTTCACGAGTATCAGCATCTTTTGATCCGGACTGTGTTAGAAAAAGTGACTAACATCATATTACTTTTCTTCTTTGTTTCCTTCCGCTGGATATGCATAGAATTTAGAATATAAATTCATATTGCATATTTTAGACTGTCTATGCATGGACTTGAACAGGATTGTTCGGTATTCTTACTGAAAAGAGAATATTTACCAAAAACATCATTCTTTACGATTTTTCAAAATAATTTAAATATTTCTATACTTGCCGAAAAAGTTAATTTTATGAGGTGTTCATAGTGTTATGCCCCATATCAATCATACACATGCAACACACTCAGGCAGTCCGGCACATGAGAGGGGTAGATTTGGGTTGCCTATGATTACGAACGCACATCTTCATCCCTTACCCCGCTTGAGCTGCTTGATTTTTGTGCATACAAAAGGTACAGACTGGTAGATTACAGTCTTTGCCTCATCACCGGACAAGCAATAAAGAAACCGAAACCTGCCTGTTTTCAAAATAAATATTTAATTAAAATGAGAGGTGAGTTCATGAGTTCAAGCGTGAAACAGAAGAAGATATACAATTCTATAAGCAAGAATCGAAAAAGGAGTTTCCAGAATGGTTTGCAAAGTGCTTTGAAAGAGCGAGCAGTATGCACATTGTAGATGTTATAATATAGAGGTATGCCCTCCAAAAACATGTTGTGTGCACCCAATACAATAACAGACGTTTTTCATGACTCAAAGGTCCTTGATCTACTACTGATCCTCGGACGGCATTTTCCTGATGCCGAATTCAACGACACTATTTACCAATTCCGTTTTTTTGCCGGTTCGGCAACACTGCAGATGTGCAGATCACTTTAATTAAAAGCAATTGATATCCCAGATGTGTTATAATAATAGGAATAAGAAAACAAAGCAATGTTTGGAGATATGTTTTCATAAATAGGTATTTTTGATTCTGATTTATAATATCTAGACGATGAATAATAGGTGGATGCGGATACTCTTACAAATAGGTGCTGTTTGTTTACATTTGGTGTGGATTTCTAGATCATAAATTAGCAAAAATTGTTTTTGATGTAACAAAGGATGATGAACTAGTTGGAATACGTTTTATGTCCTTTTTTTGCAAAATAACGAAAATCGGTACATTTCTACAGGTACGTATATTGTACAATACCCTGTATGTGATATACACACAAAACTAGATTGGCATGCATGAACAGTCGTCAAAAACAGTAAAAACATCCTACCAAATATAATATCGACCTATTATTTCTATAATTTTGATTGGTCCATTTACATAAATGAACGTCTTTTGTGAAACTGGAAATTCTATGAAAGTTATCCTAACTCTAAAGCACAAAGACATAATATTACATCTATAATGTACCCTTATTTATAAGGCAACAATTTTTTTACGTCTTTATTTAACATTTAAATAGAAATCAATGATATTCAGAGACCTTTGACAGCTTTTGTCAAATTGCATTTCGATAAGCTATTTTTTCATTGGTCCAAGGGACCGTCAAATAATAATGTTGGTGAAATTGGGCCTAAGAAGACACATGTCTTGGGTATAGGTTGACACTACACTTCAACAAAAGTTTACAAATAAATTGTATTGGTTCCTTCGTAGCAGAATACACTGCACTGTGTTATGAACCGGCATTGTTCCGGCACTACGACACCTACAATAAAAGCCAGTCCACTTACACAGTAAGAAAAAACGGGAAGTCAGTGTAAAAGAATCGCCAGCGAGTCTCGAAAGCACTTGGCAGCTCAAGTGGAAGCGAAATGCAATTAGTTGAACCAATTGAAATTATAAGAGAAATTCCCCGAACCGCTTTTGATCTAATTTCGCACTGCTTTGTGTCGGCCCTTTAGAGATTGCTCTCCACCTACACTCCTCGTCTAAAAGGACAAGTGGAAGGAATATTTCGCTCTTTTAACAAATTGAATCCTGCTAGTTTATTGCCTGACAGGGCGCCGTACATTTTAATGCATTTTTCCGGAAGGTAAAGGATGCTTAACTCTACGCGGATGAATTAATATTTTTATTGTGAAATCGTCCACCATTCCACTTGCAACTCGCAGTCATTCCTGCGATTGCAGGACGATTTTATGGCCTCCTTGATTTGCATCAAGTTGTTCATGCTTTTGACTTGCCTACATCACTTGTTATATCAGCTTAAAATTTCCTAAAATACAAGCTTCGCATTAGGAGAGCGCTGACTCTCACACGGAGCAGTAGAAATCTAGAACTATCCCAGCCTTTCTGAAGGAGAGAGAAGATTATGAAAACCAAGGAGGCCATAAAGGCATCCTACAATAAGTGTAGGAATGACTGAGACGATAAGATCCTAAGTTCCCAAAGTGTCTATTTCAACAGCACCAAAGACAAACCTTACTGTTAAAACGAGATGTTCGTTTCGATGTAATATTTTTCTTGCGCTCAATGTTTGTGGAAACTCGATGCCGAAATGCTTAACAGGATACGAAGGAGCTGAAGGGGACAGGACAAGAATAACATCCTGATAATATTAGGAAGCGTCTTTACTCGAGTGAAAAAAAACTCCCCTTGCAGGCTTCTGTTGTCAAAGAGACGATTTTTTGACATGGCAGATGCACCATAGAGTTAATGCTCTATAGCATGTTGTTGGAAAATTGAAAAGATGCTTTGAAAATACAGGTTGCGGCAGAGAGGACGGATGTTTTAGCGATGGGTAGTACTCTCCGTCTCCGTCTACAAGAGAGGTGGGGAGGGTGCTGTTTGACTCGTGAGATCCTAGCATTATTTTACCAGTTGTCGTTATGGAGCCTGGGACGGTGGAGCACCGCGTTTTCGCCTATGAGTGACGAAACCCACTTTCACCTAAACAGCATGGTAAACCAGCAGAATTGTCGTTATTGGGCTAATAAAAATCCGCAACAGTTACACGAGAGACCGCTGCACAGCCCGAAAGTAACGGTTTTCTTGCGCTGTATCGCAAACTTGCATCATTGGCCCTTACTTCTTCGAAGACGATAATGGTAGTGATGTTACCGTGAACTCAGAGCGCTACGTCGACATGATCACCAACTTCTTTCTCCCTGAATTACGACGGCGACGTGTTCCAATCCGACATGTGTGGTTCCAACAGGATGGGGCGACCGCTCACACAGCCCGAGCATCCATGGACGTTATTCGCCCTCTCTTCCCTGGTCGCCTTATTTCCAGGTTTGGCGATGTTCATTGGCCTCCTCGGTCCCCAGATTTATCCATATGCGATTTTTGCTTATGGGCACCTCAAGGCTAGAGTATACGCGAACAAGCCCCGAACTCTGGACGAATTGAAGGGCGAAATTCGCGTGGAAGTCGCCCAAGTTGAGAGAGCGATGTCGGAGAGACTCTACACGAACTTCCAAGAATGCTTCCAGCACTGCATCAACGATTTCGGCCACCACATGCCTGATGTGATTTTCCACACTTGACTTTCTCAAATGCTATTTCCTTGTGAACCTGATTCCATCAATAAATTTGTTTTCGAGTAAAAATTAAATATTTTATGATTTTTTTAAAACCGTCCATCCTCTCTGCCGCACCCTGTACATGAACGGAAACTGTTTCATAAGACGTAAGGGGGAGTTTAGGTTACCTACTCATGCAGTCGTTGACCTTGTTCAGCACATAGCGAAAATAACGTATTTCCAGACTAGGTGAGTTTATGCTTGTTCTGTCCCATATAGGTAAAATTCAGAAGAGTTAAATTATTTATCTATAATTCCTAACAGGTTACACCCAACAACAGGAAATATACCAACAACGAAGCTAAATCAATAATTTAACAATGGCGGAACAAATAAGTGTATACAAGTATGCTAGTATTTGAAACG